AACCGATCTATCCTCAACTTTCCAGCAGCATCTAGATCTGTGCTTCACCCAATTGATTGAGCTTCGGCATAGAGGCGCCTTTTCAACTGTTGCTCAGACATTTTCTGCCTGTTGCATTCGATTCGTCAAATTATTTCCAGAGGACAAACAGGCGATCCTATCTCACTACGAGGTATGTCGTTGTGCGGCTGATCGGGCAGAAGTTCTACTAACAGCGCCTAGCGTGTCATTGCTTCTATTCGCAATACATCAACAATCAATACCCGTAGGTCTGCTGGTTTGCCCGCTGCTCTCGCGGGGATCCTTTCATCCTCTGAGTCATCCGAGCTGTTCAATATCGCCATTCGGGACCTGACCGCAATCGCTCGCGAAAGCGCCTCATTTCCTATTCGAGACCATCAAGCACTTCCTCAAGTCCATGCATTGAATTGTCTTCGGGAATTGTTTAAACACTCCAAGCTCGGTCAACGTTCGGAAGAATTCATACCTCAGTCACTCTTGCTAGCAGGACAGTGTCTGACGTCCGATCTGTAAGCTCCCTCGCCTAGATTTAGGCTTTGCTAACATTGCTATCAGCTGGGGAGTACGTAATTCTGGGCTTATGCTTTTCCGCTCTCTTATAGATCGTCTACTGGGAACCAACGATTCGTATGAAGACGATATTACTAGATCTCGTGCAAAGGACCTTCTGATCAAATTCCCGGAGTTGCTAGATTTGGTCATGAGCCTCCTGAGTGTTGCTCCGACTCTGAGCATAGAATCATTCCCATCGGTTGAAAAGGTGTTCCCTGCTCTACAGATCTTGCAGAGAGTATCACCCCCTGCTGAGAACCGGGACACAGTCTGTGCAGCCGTTGCGGCTCTAACCTCTAGTCCTCACTGGCATGTCCGTGACAAAGCTGCACGAGCCTATGCGCGCTTACACCAAGAGTCCGATTTCGCAAATGAGTGGCAACAGTGTTTATCTTGCGAGACATCGTCTGAGAACTCACGCCATGGCCAGATGCTCTGTCTGCGATACTTGCTTCGACAGCAACGCAGTCTGGAGCCGGAGATAGCACTAGCCGTATCAAGGAGCATAGCAAGATTACTGGATGATTGCATTGCTCGGTCCAGCTCCGAGGTCGTTCTTGCTGTCGCAATCGACCTATGGCGTGACTTAAAGGATATTGCCCGAGCACAATCAAACGAGCCAACTTCAAATATTGCGCATGGAAACCCTTTGTGGGTCTACGAGTCACTGTCATCGCGGCTGTCGGCAGATGCCTCAGAGCCAATTCATCCAGAGTCACTATTTATTCGCTCGCTTGCGACAGCCATGCTATACGAGGAGGCGTCTATAGAATCATGGCCAGCGATAATATCCTCGCTTAGGGATCTGGAACCAGATTCCTGCGCATCCTTGTTCGACCAGGCGGCGATATTGTGTGGCAAAACAAGTACCAATCCTGCAGTGGTCAGAGCTGTTGTCTTGGGTGCGACTGATTTTCTACACAACAAATCGGCGAGTAGCCGTACAGGCGCGATACATGCTACTGTCAAACTCCTCATTGTGGCTCTGACCAACTATCGGGATCAGCTTGTCTCTGACCAAAGGATAATTCTACCTAATGTGGACCATGTCCTGGACCTAAACGAGACGCCACTTCTTCACGACAGCACATTGATCCTTTCCAGCCTCCTTCTAGCCGTCCAACTCGACGGATCATATGTATCACAAAATCCACAAACCTTGCAACGATGGCTGCTCCTCCTGAGAGATGCAGCGCAAGAGGACAAGCCATTCGATACGAGGTTCGCCTGCGTGACCGCATTGTCCAAATTACAAGACGGACTTAGCGCCCTAAAAGCAGACTCGAATATATCTCACATGCTCATCGACATCGTCATGCTGGCATATGATCTGACAAACGATGATGACGACGAGGTCCGAGACCTCGCGGCGCTAACATCGACGCAACTCCTCAGCTCCAAGTCCACTCTTCCGGCTACCACAGTGCCCCATGAAGCAGGGTCTACACTCCTCACTCGCCTATTAGCTCACTACGACAGCGATCCCTATCTTCTCACCACCGCTTTGAAAAGGCTGAGCAACTTATCCGCACCAGACCTGTCCCCTTTCACTCCAGTCCGCTCCCTCCTTCTCGCCAGCACGTCCCAAGACACCGCGCTCTTCGCCCGCGAGAAGCAGAATCTCTTTATCGACCCGGCACGAGAGGCTAGAGTGTGGAGTCAAGTCGCGCAGCGCATGGACAAGGGAGCGATGGTTCCGGAAGTACTCGACAAGCTGCAGAATTGGGTAATAGATGGGATGAGAGCGTTGCTGGAACGGACGGAGAAGAACGGACCGTTGGGGTGGGCGTCGTTCTCAGGGGATGTGTTTGCTTTGGAATCAGCAGTGCTGTTCGCGGTAGAGGTGTTGTTGGCTTTCAAGAGGAAATGGACAGTGACAGCCGTGAAAGGCAGGGAATTGAGAACATTGTTGATGAAGATGGTGCAAGGCATCAAGGACGCCGGTGGTTGTCCTTTGCTCGTCACTGAGGGAGAGAGGATATTGATTGAAGATTTGGAAGAAGGCGTTGTGAAGGCGGGAAGAGTGCTGGGAAGATTGGGGCTCAGTAGTGATTTCTAGACTGACGGGACCTGGATACATAATGGGCACGGATAGAGCCAAAATATCGAAAAGTGCTTTTTGCTCATTTAAAATACATCAAGATACTATAGTTTCCATGCGCGGTATAATTATTCGGGATCTCCATCCGTGATACACCCATGGCTAGCATCCTTCACCATGATAGCATACTTCTTCAGCGTGCCCCGGTTGTACTTCAACGGCGGTGCAGTGAACGCCTCCTTTCGCTTCGCAAATTCAGCATCGCTCACATTAGTCTGGATGACCCTCTGCTCAGCATCGATAGTGATCTCATCCCCATCCTTGACCAATGCAATCGGCCCTCCCTCCTGCGCCTCAGGTACCACGTGGCCGATCAAGAAACCGTGACTGCCACCACTGAAACGCCCATCCGTAATCAGCGCCACATCATTGCCTAGACCAGCACCCATGATGGCGCTCGACGGCTTCAGCATCTCCGGCATGCCTGGCCCGCCCTTGGGACCCTCGTACCGGATAATGACAACGGTTTTCTCGCCCTTCTTCAGCTCGCCGCGTTCCAGCGCATCAATGAATAGGTCCTCGGCGTCGAAGCAACGAGCCTTGCCAGTGAAGACAGTGCCTTCCTTACCAGTGATCTTGCCCACACTACCTCCTGGTGCCAATTGACCGCGCAGGATCTGGATGTGACCAGTAGGCTTGATAGGGTTCGAGAAAGGCCGGATGATCTGCTGATCGGAGGGGAAGGACGGTGCGGACTCGAGGTTCTTAGCGAGCGTCTGACCCGTGACAGTCATGCCAGTGCCGTCGATAACGCCTTCTTTGAGTAGGAATTTGAGGAGCGCAGGCGTGCCGCCGATCTCGAAGAGGTCGCCGAAGACATATTTGCCGGAGGGCTTGAGGTCGGCGAGGAAGGGCGTGCGGTCGGAGACGGACTGGAAGTCATCAGGGGTGAGCTCGATGCCGACGCTGTGCGCGATGGCGATCAAGTGGAGGACAGCGTTGGTGGAGCCGCCGGTGATGTTGACCAGGACCATGGCGTTCTCGATCGCTTTGCGTGTGATGATGTCTTTCGGCCGGATGTCTTCCTTGAGCAGGTTGCGGATTGCGTCGCCTGCTGCGAGACATTCTTGCTGTTTAGCTTTCGACATTGCTGGGTTGGAGGAGGAGCCAGGGAGGGACATGCCCATGATCTCAATCACTGATGCTAGGGTGTTGGCGGTGTACATGCCGCCGCATGCGCCTCCGCCGGGACAAGCGTTTCGGATGATATCGAAACGCTCTTCCTCGTCGATCTGACCTGTGATGTGCTGACCATATGCTTGGAATGCAGAGACGATATCGAGTTTGGAATTGTTTGGATGTTGACCGCAGCCCGCGGCTATTGTACCACCGTACACCATGAGAGATGGCCGGTTGATCCTGCCCATGGCCATGATAACACCAGGCATATTCTTGTCGCAGCCGGGAATCGAGATGTTACCGTCGTACCATTGGCCGCCCATGACGGTCTCAATGGAGTCAGCGATCAGATCGCGAGACTGCAGCGAGTAGCGCATGCCCTTTGTGCCCATTGAGATAGCGTCGCTGACACCTATGGTGTTGAATTGCATGCTCTTCAGACCTGCATTGCGCACGCCCTCAGCGACCTTATTATTAAGGTCCATGAGGTGCATATTGCAGGGGTTTCCAGAATACCAGACAGACGAGATACCGACTTGAGCCTTGTCCATGTCCTTTTCGTCAAAGCCAGTCGCATACAACATCGCCTGCGAGGCGCCTTGAGATTTGGGCTGGGTAATGAAGCGGCTAGTCTTGTTGAGGGCATCCTTGGGAATGGACTTTGCTGCTTCGCCGAGCAGCTCATCATCGGCATTGCTTCGTAAGTTGGATGACTGTGCGAAAGTTCGTCTGAAGGGGATATGTTAGCTACCCAATTGCTTGTCATGGTCGAGTTGTAGAAACGTACGAAGCTTGCCATTGGCTTCTTGGGCACCACCGCGGCCTCGCCAGGCGGGCGGATTGTCGTGCGGTCCACATGGTTGGCGTGAGGCTGCTGAAGGTGGTGGCGGGTCCAGGCTAGAATTTATTGAGTATTACGAGGAAGAACTGGCCGGCATCGGCTTACGCGAGCTGGGGAAAGAGAGTCATGGCATTTGGAGCCTAGTGATTGGATATTGCGCCCACCATGTTTCCAGCAGCCAGACAAGCAGAAATCTCGGATAGTCGTACTCGTTTGTTGCACTTAGCACTTTCCTCGCCATCATGGCATAATCACACCTAGGATGTACAGATCGATCTCACATTATTCCTTGCTGACTGATTTTTTTCCGAAGTTTTAGGTATATATACCATATTACCGACGAATTTGTCATCTATCAGCTGTACAGCAGCCTTGGTGTAGTGGCTATCACGTTCGCCTCACAAATTTCCTGTGTACGCGAAAGGTCCCGAGTTCGATCCTCGGAGGCTGTACATTTTGCTGTAACATATGTTTTGCTTCACGACAATCCCAGCAGACCAACGTTTTGTTTCACCTTCTTCTACTCTTTTAAGATGATTGGTTATATGGTTCGGGATTGCAGACGAATAAGAGGCGCCTCCCTTGCCCGGCAGGCAGCAATAGGTATTCGAGAGACACCCTTGTGGCGCGGAGAGATACTGGCATGTGCTAAGCCACCACTTGATATATGTAGGCCATACATTCTCTTGACCAAGTTTACTTGCCTTTCCCTCGTTCAACCTAATTTGATTGCGTTTTCCATAATTTCAGAGTGAGTGTTTTAGTGGCATCTACAACATGACGGCTGCAGCGCTGTCACAACACAACCATCACTAGCAGACCTTCAAGGACTTGGTCTCACAAGGACCCAGTCGAGAAGCCACAGCAACCCATCGCAATCACGGTCTCGGCACCTGCGATCCATTACATAACAGACTGCGATGCTGCAGCGGAGGTGCTTGACAACTCTATCTTCTTCATTGCGTACAACAAGTCGATTCAGAAACGCATTCTCCACGTCCTCAGTTCCAAGGATGAAATGTGCTTGAAAGTGCAAAGACCATTGATCCTCGAAGATGCAACACAAAGTCACAGCGCCACCTCAATATTCGATCTCGTGCTTGACAAATTCAACGATGACAGTCCAAGTCCACACCTCATATTCGGCCAGCCCGGATAGTCCTGCGACGTAAGGACCGAAAGCTTTTGGGGCATGATATACAAAGTCATCACAGAACCTGGGAAGGTTGAGAAGCTAAACGCGGATTTGCACGAACTGAGCAGGAAGCTGCCCGGTTTAGCTCTTGATGTCGCAGCCCATCAACTCGTAGACAAAAAGCCGCCAGACTGTGCCCCCGGACCTAGGACAATCCAGATCACACGTCAGTTCGCTGTTAGGAACGTGGTCGTGTTAGACAGCGGTTACAATTTGCCTGTCAACAAGAACAAGATCTTCTTACGAAGCTCGTCTCGAATACTTCCATAATCTCCTCCTTATCAACACCAAACGAGAATCATGACTTAAACGACTGTTTATCCCATAACGACAGGCGGCGGCAACGATCTAACAGGATGACTCTCTAGGATACCGGACTGAATTTTTGAAAGGTCCCCACGTGAGTATTCCGAGCACATGCACTTTGAATTTCAACACCTTATCCAGTACCTTACTCAAAACTACCCCTCATCTCTCCCACGACGATCTTCATTCGCTGTGCATTCATCCTCTCAAATTGATCAACCCGCATGACAAACGTACCTCTCCCCGCTGTCAAACTCCTCAAATGTTTCAGGTATCCAACCATCTCCTTCAGCGGCACCCTTGCCGTGATCTGTCTCATGCCCTTCATTTCACCGAGACCCTCAACCCCACTTCCACTTCCGCCAAATGGATCCGGTGGCGTGTAGATTCGCTTCGGGTCAATAGCGTCATATGCTAAGTCATCATCCTCTCCATCCAAGGAGATGATTTGACCTCCACGCGCAGAAGAGATGTCGTGTACTACCGCGCCGAGGCTGGGTGCATCGACGGAGATGGTGACGATCATGACGGGCTCCATCAGCACAGCTCCGGAAAGGGAAGCAGCGTCCTTTAGAGCGCGGGTTGTGGCCAGCCGAGCGGCAGAGGACAGCGCCGCTGGAGTCGTGCTGTCAAACAGGTGGTTCGTGATGTCAAACGTAAGACTGATGTGCGTGGAGTGCATGGAAAAGGAGAAAGAAGGGCCACGACCGAGGGCGGCGGACACCCCTGACTGGAGTGCCGATCGGACGACTTCTATTGGGAGGTTCTCTGGTAGAGATCGCCCGTCCTCTGCAAGAGGGGTACCATCATCGTCGAGATCGGGGAAAGAAAGGGAGAGAACGTTGTTGTCATCAAGCTCGATTTGATCAGGCCTCGGGTCAACATCGCTGACATTCGCGACTACGGCTGTAGAGCCAGCTTTTGCAGACTTTCCTGCGATATCGCGGTCGAAAATTGCTTCCTGTTGCGAAGAGGTATTTGTGATCGTTTCACGATAACCAATTTGGATATTGCCTATCCGGGCCTTGGCTTTCAGGTCTTGGATCAGTCGATCTCTTGCGATCTCCAGGTGCAACTCGCCCATGCCTGATAAGTGTGTTTGCCCACTGTCGGGGTCCTGGGCGACATGCAGACTGGGGTCCTCGCGCAGCAGCAGGGCCAATTGATCCTGCAGATGCTTCTCTTCGGAAAGGCTGTTGGGCTCAACGCTAGCGAAAAATACAGGAGGCGGCACAGCGATGGGTCGAAGCTGTAAAGAATTTAATGGTGGCGGCGGACCGACTTTGGGATTGGCTCCTGTATATGCCATCAGAGTGTCACCGGTTCTTGCGAATTTGAGTCCGGGCAGAACACCGATCTGGCCTGCTGCGATAGACTCGACGTCCACAGCTTGATTTGCGTACATCCGTAACGTGCGAGACGGTCTCTCAGTGACGTTGAGATTCGTATTGAACAAACTTGTGTTTCGTCCAATCCTTCCAGAGTAGACCCGAACATATACTAAAACACCTCTCTTAGCATCATTGACCACCTTGAAAGCTAACGCGCAGGTCTCGACATTCTTAAGACTCATTGTCGCCTTGTTCGGTTGCACTGCTCTCCCTTTGCCCGGCTTCTTAGATGGAGGCGGCTGCAGATTGACACTGCCCGAAAGAAGCTGGTTCAAACCCATGTGGCGATCCCCAATCTTGGTATCAGGATCTGGTCGTTCTTCTGGGGCCGGTAGTAGATCCACGACTGCATCAAGCAACGGCTGCACTCCAATATTGCGAAAGCTGGCTCCTGAGAACAAAGGTGTTATAGGCTGAGGCTTGGCACAAGTAAGCTTCCGGAGACTGTTGACTATGTCCACCTCCGAGATTGCAAGGTGATCCTCCTCCGCTTCTAAGAACTTCTCGACCATGTCGTCATCGTGCTCGCTTAACAATTCGACCAGAGCAACCCTTGCTCGGCCCAGCTCAGCAGCAAATTCGCCGTGATATTCATGCAAAGACGCAAGATCGAAGACTTGCATTGCTTTGCCGTCACCTCCTTCAGAGTATAGAAGTGCCCGCATACCAATGACATCGCCGACTCCCTGCAGCTTACTGTCCGCCTCCCTCCACCATGGGATCTGGCAGACGGCAGGCCAAACGCCAAGCCTCGTTCCCACCTCTCTCACTGTTCTTGCGAAAGCTGCACCATCTCGATCGAGTTTGTTCACGAAGACCAGTCTTGGAATATCGTAGTGATTAGCCTGTCTCCAGACCTGCTCTGTCTGAGCCTCGACACCGGCGACTCCATCAAGTATACAGACTGCCCCATCAAGGATGCGCAGAGATCGAAGGACTTCGAACGTGAAATCTGCATGCCCTGGTGTGTCTATCAGATTAATGCTGTGAGAATGAGAGGAAAGTCGAGCAGGAGTAGAGGTGGAGCTCTCTGGAGCTTCTGGGCCAGCCGGTGGCCACGAGAATGTAATTGCGGCAGATTGGATGGTGATGCCTCGAGCCCTCTCAGCAGGAAGGAAATCGGTCACAGTGGAACCTTCGTCGACATCTGATGGCGAATGATAAGTATGGGAGAGTCGAATGGAAGCAGGGAGAAAATCTTGGGCTAAAGTATAGCGAAAGGAGAAACAAAGAAGAATGATACCAACCTCCTAGTCTGCGTGTGAAACCACTGTAGTAGAGCATACGCTCTGTGGTCGTTGTTTTGCCCTACCTGGTTCAGCTTGCTGCGGCTAAAATCACACCAATCTCACGCACTGCATCGATATGGGCAATAATTCCGATATTACGGGTCCTCCTAGGAACGCTTGTAGTGTCATTACGACGCAATACAGAGGTATGGAAACCTCTCGCGGCGAAACACAGTCGCTGTGATCGAGTGGAGGCGGTCGCTTGCAGTAAAGCCAGCCGTGAGAGTGTCATACCATCCAGCCAGGACTGTGACTGTTTTCGATGATGCGAATGAGATATAAAGAACGACTAGAATTGATAGCGAGGGAAAAAACTACAGTGTATGAAGGTCGCAGACAGCGAGCGATGTGGAAGCTGCCGGTTTTGTCATTGCCAAGCCACAGCTTTCCACTTCCTCCGCAGCTGTGGTGGGTGCTACTCGCTGCTGCCTCATCACCGCCATCCATCAATCCATGACTTTATCTCCAATCCTCCCGATATGATTCCAGCATGAGCTCCAGCGCCGGATCTGCGAAGTCGCCTGTCATTGTCCCGCGATTCCAACGACGAACTTCTGAGCGCGCCTTCTTCGAAGGTGCCTTCAGACCCGGCGGAATGGACTACGCAAGCCTCCCGCACGACCCCGACCATCCCGAAGGCAGCTCACCATGGGCATCCTCCCCCAAACAAAGTCGAGATTTTGGCCCTCGTCCTGCTGATGTTCCGGAATCCACGCAATCGCCTTTTGAGCCACCTCGCGAAGCATCGTCGCAATACCAGGAGCGCCCCTCGACCAGCGATTCCACTACTCTTGCGGCGTCCGAGAACGGAGAAGGTCCCCAATCGCCGTATAACAACCACGACACACAAGGCCAACCGTACAATTCTCAGCAATATGGTGCCCAGCAGCAGCACCACCAACAACAACAACAACAACAACAACAACAAGGGGACCAAACCCGCCGGGCGGAAGCAGCTCGTTACCATCCACGACAACCTCACAAGCCACAACCCCAGTACAAGCTCCAATGCAAGATCACGGCATTAGAGCGCACTGGCAAGAAAGACCCGATCCTACGATTTGATGCCTATGTGAGTCTTGTAAGCCTTGAGATATGGTCTGGCGCGAGACTAATTGTGATAGACCAATCTGCCCAAATTCAGGACAACGCAGTTCAGAGACATCCGGCGCACCCATGGCGAGTTTCAAAAATTTGCCGATCATCTGATCTCCAACAATCCCGAGGCAATGGTTCCGGCTGTGCCGCCCCCTCTCACTGCGGCTGGTGTG